TGTGACAGCGATTAAATTGCGTCTCTCTGTTTCTGATCGAACACGTCTATAAAATTCGCATGACCATTTCAAGAATGTGATTGAGGCGAGGCGTCGCGTCGCAGTTGTTTCTTTGTTCCTTCCTCCTCCTCCTACTCCTCCTCGGTGACCGCTTCTTCTGACGCCAATGCGGCACGCTCTGGCGACCAACCTCTGGTCTTGCGTCGTCCGCTGACTGTCCGCCCGTTAAGCTTCTTGCTGCTAAGGCACTCGTCGACGATGCAGCCCTGCTTACTCATAGCGGTGACCCTTCGTTTTCTGTTCCTCTTCTTCAAACCAGGTATTTAAAATCGCAAGCCTCATGCTGAACTGTTAGTCGGTGAACACTTGCGAAGCTTTGCATTAAACTCATCTTATTTTTTTTAGTTTGCTGCTCAACGTGGAGTAAGTGGTGGAGTTACGAGGGATTTTCAGGTAAGCAGCTTGTACCTCTTATTTCTGTTTTTCGTTTTTGGTCATTTTCAAAGGCTAGCTGGAGTCCACACGGATCAAAGCACGAATTTCATTTATGTGTTTTACTGAGTCATGTGAACGCTTTAATAACCTCAATATTACCAGTCCACTGCGAAAGCCTGAATTTACTGTTACATTTCACCAGATGTAGCAGTTGTTACTTTCTTCTAGCGAATTCGTTGATAGTTTAGCCAATCAAGGACGTTTCGAATCATGTGAGCGTAAGTCACAGTAAGTTGTTTAGGCTCTGCGCCATAGACGACATTGTGAAACTTATCATATCCTCTGCAGCCAAAGGATAGACCTGATTTTTGGCAGTCTGTTTGCACAAAAGAAAATCCACATAACCCTGTTCAGTGTTGACCACCAGAGCGGCGGCTTCCGTGATTAAGTACGAAACGTACTCAAAGATCGCCGACTCTCAAACAGCCTTTGGCACGGTTTGTTTCCGTGGTTAAGAACCTAGCCTTCGAGGGGTAATTTACCGCTTCAGTTCAAGAGGACTCTTTGTTCGTTCCTGTCTTTCAGTGATAAGTGTCTAGCGTTTGTTCACGTCAAAGAACCAGACTGCCGACCAACCTTATCAGCGGACCTGATGTCCCCCTAGGCGACATATAGAGACGGGACAAAACATCAAAAAGAGGTCAGGCCTCTAGATGGAAGAGGAGAACTCAAATTCAAAATGCAACAGACTATTGAATAATTGAAAAGAAGGACAAGTGGCTGACTGCGCGAGCATTGGCAACCAGCTATTGAAGCTTACCCCATTGGCGCAGGACGGCAACCATTCAACAGCCTTTCGAATTTGCAGCTCGTGAAATCAGAAATGATTATGGTCGTCGTGTATGAATGAATAAACATGCATCAAGTGAAATGACTTGAATTTACAATATGTTTCTTCCCTCTGGTCTGTCTTTGTAAGGAAACGGTAATGTACCGATTTTATTTTAGCAAATTTACTTAGTCCCTTTTAATCGCTATTAGTCTCATGAATCCGGTTGTTGAACACCTAACTGCTGGCTAGACGGGCTACAGCTGCCAAATACAATTCATTCAGTGACATTTGTGCCAAAATTTTTATTAGGAACTTATCCAAACCAATGAAGCTTTCCTTTGACAGTAGCAGCTTCAGCATTCCTCCCTGTTGCTAGTTGTGGCCGTCATTTACTAGACGATGTTACGAGAAAATTACATGTCCAGAATGATAAGGGGCACTTATATACTAAAACGAGCTGAACGGTAGATAAATACATGGTCGCGCTGAATCTGAAAACGGTGATATATTAATAATGCTGTCGTCATTGTGATGATCATAGGATCATATGAATGTCATTACCTTAAGTGGAAGACCAGTGTCAAAGTTGATCAGATTTCTTATATAGAGACAATTGAAACAATATTTCAGATCTGTCTCAGATTCAATATTGATCTCCATTAATCTAAAGGTCAAAGTACATATCCGAAGTGAATCCTCTTCCAATACACGTTTCTTGACTTGTATTGACTCTAGAAAGTGTGCGACTGATTTACGGATGATTCATGCATAGTTCGGCTGATAGACGGTTCTGATCTGAAAAATGTCTCAATGAGTGTAAGTTCAAACTTGTTCAATAATGCGGCAGCTATGGCGATGAAGGGAACACAGAGCAGGGAGCGGCGGAGCAGACGAATTGCAGAGAATCTCCCCAGGGCAATCCGTCATCACATTTCACTCAGCGATGGTCACGAATGCTGGTTGTGTTATTAAGCTTATGAATTAAAATTTTAGTTGCGCTTTATTGAATGGTCGGCCAAAGCGCACGCATCAGGCAACATGGCCATTAGGCCGACATGCTTTGGCATGACCACATCAGAATATAATAGAATAATATTATTTGCAGGTCATCGACTTGTTGCCCGTTTCTCGCCTGGCTCCACCAAAGCACCTTAGACGAATTGACTGCCCATAGAATTAGCAGCTAATTCACCAAAAGCATGCGATGCCAGATATGGACTTCAAAATGTAAAGATCGTTCGATGATTGCTCATGTAATCAAGGTCGAGAAGTTACGTGATACTGTTTCGAAGGTACCATCACTTGTAGGCAGTTTAGTCTCCATATCCAACGTCCGTATTGTCGATGGTGTGCCAAGTGAGCAGAGCACTAGAAAATGTTTAAAGAAAATCATATAAAATTAATGTGCAGATTAGGAGGCAATTATTAGATAAAATTTGACGCCTTGTATTATCACTTCTGGAATTCAGTCCACGAATCTTTTCAGCAATGTATTATTGTAGGAACTGTGTTCCTAGCCTGTGGTTGCGACCACCCTATTTGGCTAGGAATAGCTGTCTATGAAGATGGAAGAATCGAGGGATCGAAATTGTAGATTATGAAATGAGGAAAATCAGAAAGGGCACGTTTCCTTAATGCAATTAAACATGACTAATTTTACAGAATTTCTATGAGTACTGGAAAGAACTAAACGCTCTCTATTGAGTATAACAGGAGTGCTAATTCCAACAGGCCGAATTAACCATAAGGACACAAAAAATTTTACACAGTCGACAGTCTCATAATTTCAAACCAAGTGAGAACGGATATTTACTGACCTGAAAAATCGATTATTTATTAGATAGAGTGTTTTGCTCATGCGTTCAAACTAATTATACTGAAAAATTACATAATTAGTGTTGACTTACATTGTATGGGTTGTGTAATCAGTCGTAATACAGAAAGAATCGATGTCCAAAGTAGTAGTAACCATCGTATCACCCACAAGACCAATTTTCTGAACTGTTTACAACAGAATCATATTTATACTGTCCTGTACAGCCATATTAGACTTTTCGCTGCATGAAAGACTATGCTCTTCAAATTTCAAATTTCTTTCGTGTTGCATCAATAAAATTCGTCCGTTCATCCTCCCGTCGATCTCTAAGTCTTTACATTGGCAATTTGCTGTCTCATGAAGCGTGTCCAATACGTCGTTGTGAGGAACATGCCTATTATCCCTTCTCTTTTTCCGCAACGTCGCAAGTTCATGTTCATTACACTAAGTTGCATGAAATAAACCGATGAGTGATAACGTACGAATAGTCTCAATGCCCATTATCTAACTGGAGTGATCAGCGTTCCATGAGCTTTCCTGAAAATCACCCCAAAACTGTACCTTTATACACTTGCTAATACATGCCCCGTTACTCCGAGACACTTTCAGAATCTGCAGCCATCATGATTAAGTGCAGGTATTATACCGAAGCGCTTTCACGGTAGTGAATAGCGAAAGCGAGCAAGGAAAAGGCATCGAAAATAATGTCCATAAAGAACTTGGAGGTTAGCAGAAGGGGTCAGTGATTTACAATTTGGTTTACTTTGCTGTTAAGCTAAAGATCGAGTTTAGAAGTGAGGTAAACTTGGTCGGAGTATCGACAGCGTTCCATAGTCGACTCACCAAGTTTAATTTATCAATGATGGATCGCTATGCTTTCGCTAAATGAACCAGGAATGATTCGTCTGGCAATCAGACTAGTTTCAAAATGAAGAGTTCAGCAAGCATGACATACCATTTCTGATCGTAGGTGCTTTGCTGAAATTGCAGATGGCTTACAATTCATGGCTGAGGGCACCAAAAGACCAGATGTTACGTTTTACTGTCAATGTCTTTCGCTACGCACGCCGTAGGATCATCAAGGCACGACTGATATGATAGACAGCAAACCGTTTTTAATATACAGAAATACATCGGTTTAAAGTGAGTGGATAGTACATTTAGCACTAGATAATATATTAATCAGATGATAGGCATATTCATAATTTCAAATTTTAGAGTTCAATCTCAACCACTCATTACATCACTCAAAATTTTATTGTCAAACTAATGGTAGCTCTCCAGCTTTTCTTATCACGATGGAGGAGGAGTATTCAATGCACATACGACATTTCATCGCCAAAATATGCGATGACTCCTTTCCAAGAGACCAAATCTTGACCGACCGTTGTCTATCACAGACACAGGCTTCTCTGTGACTGTGTGTTCCTCAAAAATGGTGCGTTGCGCAATACCACAGCATTTGGCATATACAAAGCGACCTGCAGGAAAGTGCTCTTTTACTTAGACACATGACGTTTCGTTGATCCTTCCAATGTATATCTTATCTCAGTATTACGGTGTCTGTACTCGACGCCACGCACCTCTTTCAATGCGTCCTACAGGTCGCTGGATATTCTTCTTGAAGAGAAACATCTTTGAAAT